TTGTCATCTTGACGTGCGCTTGAATTTGTCACTGAAACAACAGTTGTTGTCAGGAGCCTAACTGTGTGTTCTAGCTTACGTTCATTTGTTTACTTCTGATTTAATGTCAATGTTAATAACTTAATTCCACTGGAAGTTTTTCTTTCTAATTTTATTTTTTTTCCTTCATTTTCGTCTTCTGCTCTAAGAAAAAAATATGTAGAACAAAGTTGCAAATATTCCATCGTGATTGATTCGGTTGACGGGGACAAACGGTTATACGCAGTTGAAAAGCTGTCCATAACAAGAAACAGCGAAGAGATAGTGGCATTGCGTTAACTGATAGTGAGCTGTGAAGTTTATTGCGGTAATGTGGCATCTTCGTTATGTGCTGGCCTTAAATCTGCGCATAAATGTGTATGTTTTGGGAAAGGACAAAAAAAAAAGCTCCTGTTCGGCGGGTCTTCTCTTCCTTTCTATCCTCGGCATAGGGTTTACTGACTGATTTGGCGTAGTTGTCAATCTGATCTATTTTATGTTCTTTTTTTTTTAGTAATTTCTTTTCTTTCTGATCAGGTTCATTTGTTGAACTTCTTGCGATTAATGATTAAGATTTTTTGGCTTTTAAAACGTGATCAGATAGGAGGTTGTTGTCATATGCACTGATGTAAAATATTTTTTCGCCGATTATGACCGTTGAAGAAGTACAGCGTCGTGGGATTGATAAAATCACGGAAACGCTTTTTATACTGTTTTTCAGATGCTGCTTTATCGCTAGTAATATGATAATATTATTATTATTTTTTTTGAGATCATCTTACGTGAAAAGATTTGGTTTTCTTCTGTTGCAGTCCCACTTAGTTCCTCTGTTTCTGAGAATATTCATTTGTTTATTTCAATAGGTGTTCATCAATTCACGGATTATTATCCCATACTGTAAGTAATGCGTATATACGTTTAATACCCCCTTTTTATTTTCTTTTTTTCAAAAGACCTCATATCAGCTTTCAAGGTAGGTTTTCTATCTCGTGGCAACATTTTTTTTTTTCGTTCTTATTGTTTTTTTATTATTGTTAATTAATTAATTAATTATTATTATATTAACATTTGTTTATTAATTATTATTGTTATTTTTGCTATTATTCTTGTTAATATCATTACTGCCGTTGTTTCTGCTATGATATAATTAATAGTATGTTGATTATTTTTAGTCTTCTTATTCGACTAATGTGTTCTGATTTGCATTTTTCGAACTATGATTTTTGATTTTCGATTATTTGCTTTTTTTTTTTTTTGATTATGTATACATTGTTAGCGGAATAGATTGATAATTTTGACTTAATTAACGTCGGGGATCTCAGACTTGGGATGAAGGTATTTTTGTTGCCTTCAGTTGAGGATACAGATGTTGCTATTGGTTAGGAATTTACAAGTTGTTTTTTATTTTCATTTTTATTATTTTTTCTGTTCCTATTTTTAAGTGTTATTTGTGATTCCTTAACAAAAAGATATTAAAAAGAAAAGCGAATTGTTATATCAGTGGTCTTTTTTCTGTTGTTAACAGTTAGCGCGTAGAAGCCCGCAGAGACTCTTCTCACCGTTGCCTTTATGGTGCTTAGTGCAAAAAGCGAGTGTTAACTCCGCTTGAGTGTTGATGTTAGTCCCATTTTTACCATTAACAGAAGGCGACAGGAACAGTCTTAATTTATATTTAGGTTTTTTTCCCACTGAAGTTGTGACTATTTTCTCATCCAGCAGGTTTTTTTGGCTCGTGATTCTCTTCTTTTTTGAAGTTCTTAGAGTTTTTTTGCCATCTGGAGTCTTGTCGAGAAAGTCTCTGCATTTGATGCTTAGTCAAAACAGTATCTTTTGATCTTTTTTACTGTTCCGGAAATTTGATATCAACTGGCAACATTTGGCTTCTTTTGTAGGTCGGCTATGTTACGACTATTTACTACCAGCTTTGTATATGTTTGAAATTTTTACAGTCTACTCAAATATTTGGTTGTCGTATTCCATATGATTTCAGTTTTGTGTAGCTATTACAACTTTTTTTTGCAATCTTTTCTTTTGCTGTTTTATGATAATGATGGTGCATTTTTTGGTACGTGTTGTTTTCAAGCCAGTATGCTTGTGCGCACGTAACGCATGAAGAACTCGGTGCTGTAAACGGTTAACTATGGCTCGTTACTTTTTTTTGGGCTAATTGTTTTTCACGATAATTTTTAGGATTTTATAGTTGGAGTTGTGATTGACAGTTGTGATTTACTTCGAGCTCATTTTTTCTCGTTAAATGGTAAATGTTATTTAAGAAAGTGTGCAAAGAACTTGCTATAAATTTCTGCGAGACTTCTGACTTTTCCTCCATTTCCTTTTCTAGGATGGGATGGTAAATTTTTTTATTTATCTTAAATTAGGAATTTGAGAGCGGGATTCCCCTGCGCGTGGTACTGGTCTTTCATTGCCATTCAAGAATCTTTTTTTGAGTGTCTTTCAGTATCAATGTTTTTTGTTGTGGTGGTGCTAAAGATAAGGATTTTTTATGAGTGGTCGTGAGACGGAGAGCTGTTTTCATAGGTGCTGAATACACGCAACGCTTCAGCCTAGGGGTGCGTCCACGGGTATTTAGATTCGCTTGCGATCAGGCAAATTAGATCCGGAGGTTTTGTTGCAGAAAACTTGTAAGACTGCTTTACACAAAACGAGTTAAAGTGGAGAGTGGGAATAAGGAGTTTTACATTCCTCATCGTTTCAAAACCGGAAAGTTTGAGATTTCCAGCTGTCTTGCTGTGAGATTTTGAGATTTCAAGGAAGCGCAGCAGAGGTGGAAGAAGGTCGAGAAGCACCCAACATGTTTCCGAGAGTAAAAGATAAGGAGTTAGTATTGAAGGAATAAGTATTTGTAGAAGTAGTAGGTAAGGTTGGAGATAACCGATTATTTATAGCTATTGAGTAGGCCGAAAAATAATCAGCAGAAAAAATATGTGACTTTGGTGAAAGAGCGATTACTGAATCTGGAAAATCGAGATAGTTTAGTTTGGAGTCAGGACATCTCTTAAGATGAATTCTTGTCATTTTAAAAATGATTAAGGTAGGATAGATATCATTAAAATTTAAGAGCGTAAGTGGATGCAGTAGAGCAATTGAAACTTAACGGTTCTATAACTTTGCCTTTGAATTCAAAATTTTTATAAAATTATTTTCAGGTACGCATTTCTAACCGTTTAGCGGTTTTGTGTTCTTACGTAAAATTCGCTTAGAAGTGGGACTTAAGAGGTGCCGTAGGTTTTTATGGAGGGATGGTAAACGACAGATGAGTACAGGTAGTAGACAGCATTGACTAATGTGCGGAATAGATAAGATTCAATTCACATATTGTGATATCTTTTCTTGTCATAAAGCAAAAAAAAGCTAGAATTTTGGTGGCTATAACGGCCACTGTTATTCTTGAGTGAATGTATTAGCATTTTGGAGAGAGTAGTAGCATCATTTTTGAAATGTTATCTAAGAAAAAGAGATTAAAGAACGAGGATGCTGGTAGAAGCTAAGTTTTTTATTCTTTTTCACTCTGTTTATGTTGCCTTCTTACTTTTTTTTGGGTGTTGTTGCTAAATTGCCATTTAGAGTTGAGTGGTTAAAAAACTGGCATTGGGTAGTGTGACTATGTATGATGGACTGCGAGCCTTTTTTTTTCTTTTGATAGTGCTAATTCAATTTTCAATTTCCTGTTGTTGTTCGTTTACAGTGTTTTATTTTGATATCTTCTTACTGAAAGCCAAGGATATTGAATTTAAAAATTTAGAACTTTTCAAGAGTAAATATCGAGATAAATGTAAAATTTACAGGTTTTAGTGAACGCCTATAATCGGGAAACAGCTTTAATTTTTTAGATTTTTGAGGTAAAGGTTTCACTGTATCTACAACTGTAGGCTGAAATTTCATGGGGATATCACATTCTCATTTGGTCAAAATCTTCCCAGGAAGAAAGATGGAGGTTATTTTCAATGTCTTAAAAAAACTTGTCGTAACAGCATACCTTCATCAGTGATATTTATTGCTTGTAGCTGTACTGGCTGATCCCAGAAAATTTGTTAGATAAAAATTTTTTGGAGTAGTGTAGTGTATACTGTGGCTATTGGTCATCGTTTACTTACCATTGTTGTCCACTAGGCAAAACAAACGGGGCAGGGAGCTGTAGGGGTAAAACCACCTACTGGGAGGTGCGCTGCGTGTGCGCTCTGGAACTGTATAGGTGCCGATTTGTAGATTTTTGGATATTTGATTGCTGACAGCAACTGATTAAGCAGGTGGTTAGTCGGTGATGTCTTGTCAAGCTTGTAGTTGTTTAGTATCTGATGGAACAGAACCTTCAGTAATTTTGATGTCGTGTTGTTGCGTTCCTATAGAATTGTAATGTTTGTTTTTCGTTTTTCTTTTTGCTCTTTATTGTTGTTGTTTTGCATGAAATTTTTATTTTATTTTTTGCTTTTTTTTCAGTTATTTTTCAAATGTTTTGCAATTCAAGAAGAGTGTTGAGTGGGAAAGTTTATACTATCTATAGTTTTAATGTTCGTGAAGTTGAATTTTTGTTCAAGCATTTGGCATCATATTCAGTTTTGTTGAGAGAATAGTTGGTCATCGCACACTGAAAATATGACTGTGAGAGTCTATTATCACTTTTCAGGTGCACTTTATTGCACTGAAGTGTATGCAGTGGAATGTTATCGTGTTAATAGTTACTGTTGGATCAGCTGAGTAGTTTTGAGGTAGGACTGGGGAAGAAATATTAATTGTTCAACTGATACGTTAGCCGGAAAGTTTTTTTGTGTTGTTTTATGGACCTTCTTTCTGCACTTTTAAACGAGCAGTTCTTTGTTCTCTTGGTATGTTGCTGAACAAAGCGGTAGTATTAGGTCTCGACTGAAACGGCGATGATGCACTAAATTTTATGGGACTGATGAGGTTCAAAAATCTGCATTCAATATAATATCATTTTCTAACAAGACTATTTATGAAATCCTTAACTTAAAGCATGTTTATTGAATCAGTTTACGGCGTTCTGTTTTCCAAATAATTTAAACGGTGAGACGATCGAGATGATAACAAGTTATTTACTTTGAATCAAAGTTCTGTAGCCTTGGTGATCTGAAATAGTTTTTTTTTTAGCATTTATAATTTTTTGATTATAATTGCTTATGATTGATGTGTATTTTCGATTGGCACATTTTTATGCACAATAAGTACCCGGTTAAAACTAAGGATGTTGTTTTCAGAAGTTTTTGTTGTTTCAATGTTCAAATCTCTTGGTTAAAAATATGTTCTTTTGAATTAAAATGAATGCAGTTCCTTATACGTTTTGGCGAACCGCATTTCCTTTCAGTTTCGTTATTCTTAACTTTGAAATACAATTAAATTGCATTACATATAAACTGTTTTGTAATCTGAAAAGCTTTGCAGCGTAGGTTTTATGACACCGTCTATCGATCTGTGGTGGTTCGCCTTTTTGACATAGGTGCTACGGTAATGGAGGTCGATTCGCATGAGTTTTCGCCTTCTAGATGTACTGTGAATTGGCCCTCTAAATCTAGTGTGCTTGAGACACCGGAAAGAAAGCGTTTCCAGCATTCGATTAGCTTTTCAGATTCTGGTTTAGGCTCTTCGCTCCTTAGAACACCGCCTGATCAGGTGTGTAATGTTTTTAACATTTTAGTGGTACCAATTTTAGTCTAAATTTTTACAATGATATCTAGTCTCCACGAAACTGTGTACCATTTCCAATTGTTAAATCATGCAGGAATCGATGAAGCCGCTTAAGACCTCACCGTTATTAAGAACCCCTACGGATCGATCAGGACGTTCTGTGGATAGCTTCTGTTGTAATGCGACACCCTCACCCATAAAGTCTGAGTTTATTTATGTATTACATCTCATCCTTAAGCTCAATGAATGCTTTATTTTCTCAATATTTCTGTTTCATCTTTAGAGTCTCAGTGATTCATCAGTTTTGTTACTTTCAATTAGCTGCTTCAACTTTTGGACAAGAGTTCTAATCTTTAACCAATAAGTTTTTTGATATATTCAATTATTGCAGATCTTTTGTTCATATGTCTTCATATAGTAGTACGTTTTCATCACCTGAAATCAGGAAGTGTTCATTATCAAGGCATGAATTACGATTATCAAATCCAGAAAATGCGACCAGTAAGGCTTTATACGGCTCACGTATTTTTGGATGTTATGTCGTTAACGCCTGATTTATTTTTTAGGTTATAAATTCAGTGGTGACACTTTTATTAAGAATCGTGGAAGCCCAATTAATATGACAAGCAGTGATATTATCACGCAAAATCGACCGTTTTCTGTTCGACAAAACCACATGACAGCCCCGAGCACCTCACGCGCCTCTAACAGAGCTCTTGTTCTACCTTCACCCAGGTACAAAAGCCTATTTAATTCTGAATAACTTTGGTGTCAGATTCTTTTTTTTGTCGTTGGCAGACAGCTATTTAGTGCGCTAGGAAAGAGAGTGCTTAGATGCCGTGTACATTACGGGTAATAAACTGAAATTTTTTTACCAGTTATATTTTACTTTAAAGGAGTTGACAGTGATCAATTTTAGTAATGATGCTGGGATCGAGAATGACGAGAAGGCAGCAGATGTTACAATTCCTTATGCTATTTTAGAAACTCCTAGTAAGGGTCTCGGATTCGACGTAAGTTGAAGGAGATATGTTTTGATAAACTTTATCGATCTTAAAAAAGCTAGTGCATTTGAGTAGATTTTAGTTCAAAATGTTTATTCTTCTTTCCTTTTCTTCAGCCCATAGACAAAAACTTTTTTGGAGTGGACGATTTCATGGGTGTTGCGACGTCAACTCCGCTTAGAGATATTAATGAGGGTCATGTAGATATGATGGCTTTTCCGGTCAACTACCCTAGACTGTATGAGCAGACAAGTGGCCCGTTGGAAGGCAGGTATGAATCTCTGGTGCAAAGTTTCACTTTCAATTATTTATTAGAGAGGTTGCGAAGATTTAGCTGTACATTTATCTTATATAAGGCCACTTTTTGGTGGCAAAAAGGGTTAGTGTTATATGGTTTTATGGGGATGAATTACTTCTTTTTAGTAGTATTTTCTTGGAGGTTGAATAGTTAACTGTAGGATTTTTTTCACTAAAGGTTCCTGTTGGCTCTAAAAGTTGTGATATGTTGTCTGCTTCTAATTTTTTTCAGCGGTGAATATTAATTGTTTCAGTATTTGTGAATCCCTTGAAGCTCCTGGACCAGTTTCGGGGTTATTTACTTCTCCTAGTAAGATAACTTTATCCAATGCGTATCCTAATGGCCCTCGTTTTGTTGATAGAAGCTTATCCGAGCCCTCGTATAACGAGGTATGATTTCGTTTTTCTCTTCTTTTTTAGAAGTCGGTTTATAATTTGAATGAAGCTGCTTGCCAGTTTTGTTTTCACTGTACGCTCAAATCAGCTCCTTCTAGAAATCAATGAAGAGTTTTTTGGTTTTCTTCTTGAAATTTAGTTTGCAAGTTGAAATTTTGCCACTTAGCAAATTGTTTTTGTAATCAACAGTTAAATTTGAAGCTTTATACTTGAGCAAGAAGCCTTTCACCGTCTTAGAATTTCTTTTGCTTTTGAAACTTTGTAAGTAACAATTTAATACGAGAATTTGGACTACTCGAGGTCTAAAACTTGTGTGGTTTCTTTTTTTTTTTTTTTTT